AAAAGCTTAGCTGACTTATAGGAGGCTCTGGATGAGGGAAAAAGAAAAAAATTACCTCCTCTGATAATACACGAGCACAGGTCTGCCTTCATATGGGCTTGGGTTTAACCCTTTGCACTCGCTTGCTTTTCTCTCATTATCCACTCAACATTATCCACACTTGACATCTGAGTGCAAAAAGTTAACTTTACTCTGGATGCATGACATAAAAAAAATTAATATAAAAAGTGACTAGGGCTATGACCCTGACGTGCATGGCAGAAATAAATGAAAAAAATGTCTCCAAAGGGATACAATTTTCATTAGGCTGGAAGAGACTCTCAGATAAATGTCCACCAACCAAAAATCACAATCCAGATTTACAGAGAGGCACACAAGAAAGAAATCTACAATGAGCAAGAGTCAGCAGATACAGCAAATAGCAGAATTTTAACAACCTTGATAACAGCCATTTAAAATAAACTATTAGAATTAAGCTGAACAATAAATATGTTTAGAATAATTAAGCATAAAATAATCAAAAATATAAGACACAATAAAATAATCATATTGGGAGTGGAATTAAACAGAATTTCTAGAAATGAGAAACATTAACTAGCAGACTAGACAGAGCTGAAGAGAGAGTCAGTAAACTGAAAAATTAATCTGTGAATGAAAGATCTGAAGGCACTCAAATTGCAACACCAAATTAAGAGCACCCAAATTGCAGTACAGAGATACAAAGAAATGTGAAAGACAGGCTAAGATAGAAGGATGATAGGATGAGAAATTTTCAACACAAATCTAATGGGAATTCCAGAAGAAGAGAAGAAAGGCAGTATTCAAAAAAAATGAGGGCTAAGAATTGAAAAAAAGATATAAGCTCATGATCTGTGAGAGCAATAAAAGTTAATTTATATCTAAACACATTGCAGTGAAAGTGCAGAACACAAAAACAAAGATGTTAAATAAAACCATGGAGAAAATACAGATTATTTTTTAAGGGATAATTATTAGACTGACAGTAGTCCTTTTCCCCAACATTTTATTATAAAATTTTCAAGCACAGAGAAGAGCTGGCAGAACTTTATAGTGAATATCTGTATTACTACTATGTAGATTTACCATTAATATTTTATTTAATTTCATTATATTTGCTTTATCACTTACGTACCCATCCATCCATCTCTGACTTATCCACCAATTCCTCATTTGGTTTTTGTTGCTAGTTTACTTTTAGGTGTTAGTGTGTATGCATTTCAAAGCAAATTACAGATGTTTTTACACTTTCCCCTAAATGCTTCAGCAAAGATATCATTAACTGAGTTCAATACGTGTTTACAGGTGTTCTGATGTCAAATTTGCATACAATGAAATACACAAATCATGTGTACATTGCTGTTAACTCAAACATCTATCAAATATAGAACAGCGACATCACCCCTAGAGAGTTCCTTTGTGTTCTCTTCCAGTCAATATCTACCTGTATCCCCTCAAAGTCAACCACTATTCTGATTTTTCCACTATAAATTAGTTTTACCTGTTCTAGAGTTGCACATACGTGGACTCCTACACTTTTGTATAAGGCTTCTTCCCCCAACTAACAGATTTTTAGATTCATCCATGGTGTTGCATGTATCAGTAATTTCCTCCTTTGTATTATTGAGTAGTTTCATATTATAAGAATATACCAGTTTGTTCATCCATCCTCTTATTTATAGACATCTGTCCTCTTTTCATTTTAGGGACATTATGAATAAAGCTGCTATGAACATTCTCGAACAAGTATTTTTGTGAATACATTTTTTGCTTCTTTTGGTAAATACCTAAGAGTAGAATTTCTGGGTCACAGAGTAGGTGCACATTTATGAGAGACTGGCCCTTTTCTCTAAGCTTGTAGTACAATTTTACATTCTCCAAAATAGATAAGAGTTCTGGTTGTTACACATCTTTGCCAACATTAATGTTTGGTTTTTTTTTTAAATTTTAGCCACTCTGATGGAAGTGTAGTGGTATCTCATTGTGGTTTTAATTTGAATTTCTCTGATGCTGATGATGTTCAATACTTTTTCAAGGACCTATTGGCCAGTTGGATATCTTCTTTTATGAAGTGTCTATTCAGATCCTTTCCTGACAACACTCTTTTGGACAGCAGCACAATAAAACAGAAAACAACAGAACTATATTTCATCAGTTAGGGCCCAGTCAGGAGATCAAAACCAGACAAGTAATTTAAACATGACAAATTGATGATAATGAATTGTTAAGTAACGAGAGGTGGTCAACCACCAAAATGCTCAAAGCAAACTCAAAGATGTAGAGAGCTAGAAACTACAGAAATAAATCATTACCCGCTGGGCCAAGAGAAAAGCGAACAAGAAAGAAAACTGAAATCTCAGAGGAGGGGGTCATGCAAAGCTAAAATTCAGACTTCTGAGGAGAGGGCATGGTTGCCATAGAAACATGGTGCCAGCTGATGTGGTGGCAAAGAAACTGGCCACTGCTGAGCCACAAGAGCTGAGAGCCACCCCCACAACGTGGCAACAAAGAAACAGACTGGAGGAGGCCACAAGTGAACAAGGACCCCTACATCCCCATCCGCTGGCTGCTGAACTCTAAAACCAGGACACCAGAAGGAAAGAAGTTCCTTTTTCCTTCTTCCTTTTCCAGCCTTCCCGTGTCCCTCTTGTGCCCTCTATTGGCAGAGCCTAACACTGAACCATTTGTCAAGGGAGAAATCCCAATCTACAAGAGCTCAGGCCCAATATCACAAAGTAGGGCGAAGAATGGTGACCCCAGAGATAAGAGGAAATAAATTAATGATAGACACAAATATCTTCAAGGTGCTGAGGAAAAAATATACCTGTGAATCTAGAATTCTATACCCAGTTAACCTATCAGTCAAGAGTGAAGACACAATTAATGATTAAAAATGTTTTTTGTTATACTTTACATAACATATATAAAAGAGAATATGTAACATATAGGTAAATTAAGATTTTTTTTCAGGCAATCAAAAACTAAGATATTATAACTAAAAGGCTGTCAATGCAAGAAATACTAAAGTGCTTTCCTTTAAGAAGGAGAAAATTAAATCCAGAAAGAAAAGGTAAAATGCAAATAAATAAAATAAAAGGTAAACGAAGGAATTAGTAAACTTATGGATGAATAAATGGTAAGCAAAGAAATTGGTAAACTTATAGGTAAATTTAAATAAGAAATGACAGTATGAGTCAATAATGATTAAAAATAATGACTAATTTGGAATATAAAAGTAAAGGGTAATCAAAATATGGGACAATCACATGCAGATGGGAAGAAATGATCAGAGTTGAACTGTTTTAAGTTCCTTGTATTTTTGAAAGATAGTTAGAGACCAAGATCACTTAACAATCTAGAAAACAGTATGACTGGTACTCCCTGGAAGTGTACAACATAACTCTGGATGACATTTTCTAAGTCAAGTGCATATCCTATAATGTTAAGTTTACCTCTAAAGAATAGAAATAAACTAAACAACATTAAAATCATTAGAATAAAGAGAATAAAGAACGCTTGATCAACTCAAAATAAAATAAGAATGGAGAGGAAAAAGCAAAACAATTTTAAATCACAAGTGGGAAACAAAATTTTGAGGTGACATAAATCTAAATTTATCAGTAATTCCAACAAATATGAATGAACTAAACTTCAAGATAAAAAGACAGAGATTTTCTTATTGCCTTTTAAAAAATCAGCTACACAATCTGTACAAAAGACACAACTAAAATATAAGAGCATAGAAATATTAAAAGTAAAAGAATGTAAAAAAGACATTCTAGGTAAATAGCAACTAATAGAAAGCTAGTGTCACCATATTCATATTCATATGAAACAGAAGTCAATGAAATAGATTTCAAGAATTATTAAAGAAGGATATTTTATAATGATAAAAAGAACAATTCATCAGGAAAATAAGACAATTAACAAATATCTATGCACATATAACATAACTTTGAAATACAGAAAACAAAAATTGATAGACTTTCGAAGAGAAATTGGCAAATCTAGCACCATGGTGACAAATGATGATATACTTCTTTCAAAATAGCAAACCAAGCAGGCACAAAAACCAGTCATGACACAAAAGATTCAACAACACAATTAACAATTAACAACACAATTAATGACACAATTAACAAACTTTAAAGACATATGAGAACTTTTTGGGCAATTTTATAGAATATATTCTTTTCAAACACACTTAAAACACTAGTAAAACTTGGTCATGTGCCAGGCTGCATAGCAAATTTCAACAAATACCAAAAATTGATATTATACAGACCAAATGTTCGGAACATCATACAAATAAGTTAGAAGTTAATTGCAAAAAGTCTTTGGAGATTTTTAAAGCATCATTCTAAGTAAAGCATTCATCACATCCCCCAACAGGGCACGAGAGCTTGTAACAACGCTAGGTTTCATCTATCTCATTGACACCACCAAGCCTAGTTCTTCCTCTTACTAATAGCGAACACGTCGTAAATACTGCTCAAGGTCAGAGATGGGATCAGTGGCTCCAGAGCAGGGGGAAGGAACCTTGCCTCTGCGGATATGGAATGTGCAACCTGCACTCCAGTGGGCTTGTACCTCCAACCACTGACACACAGGAATGCAAAAGGACTTTAACCTGCAAAGTTTGGCTTACCGTACTCTTCCTGAGGCAGACGTCTCCAGGTAGAAAGTTTCCCTCCCACTCTTCCAAAGGACAAAACATTAAATAACTCTCTCAAAGCTACATTGGGCTATTGGCACCCAGAATACTTGAGAAGGGGGGGGGGGCTGCCCACTGGGACTGGGGTGTGTTAACTGACGGATGAGGGGCGCCCTGAGAACAAAAATGCTTCTGTGTTTGTCCACAGCTGTCCCCAGAGAAGAGGGCGCTGATCTCAGAAAAGAGAGGAGAGTGGGCACTTCATGCGTAACAAGGACTCCGGGCAACGATGGAGAGGGAGCCCAGCTCTCCACGTCATGATCTGCGCGCACCCAGCATCCCCTGCTCTGAGCACTGACACGCCAGGAGGGCTTCCCTGCGCGAATGGAAGATCAAGGGATTCCACCTTAAATAAAATATCAGTCTGTTCTGGCGAGTTTGGTAAGTATAAGGAGTGGTCGCCAACCTTTCTGGAGCCAGGGACTGGTTTCATGGAAGATAATTTTTCCACGGATGGAGAGGAGGGCGGTGGTGGGCGGGGCTCAGGCAGTGATGCAAGGGATGGGAGGGGAGCGGCTGTAAATAAAGATGAAGCTTGGCTGGCCGGCCACTCACCTCCTGCTACATGCCCCCCCGCAGGGTCGGGGGGGTGGTTGCTAAGTTTCATGGAAGACAACTTTCCCAGGGACAGGTGGTGGGAGGTGGCAGAGCTCTGCGCCCAGTTTCTAGCAGGCCATGGCCAAGTACTGGTCCTCAGACCGGGGTTAGGGGACCACAGCTGTAGAACACACATTCTCAATGGGGGTAATATCGCCCCCAAGAGGGCAAAATTTGATTTGGCAAAAGGGGCAAAAAAACCAGATATGACAATGGTTTGTGGCTTTCCAAAAGACCACAATTAGGTTTACAGACTATCAGTGGTATAAAATTGCATGGGAGAGTGGAGACACTTAGGGAAAAAATGTCTCCAAGGCTCCCCTGTGCAGACAGACACATCTGAGCCTTGCGAACAGAGCCTGCTCTAAGGCACTCCTACACCTAGGCACTGGCCAGACTAATTAACTAATCTCCCCTTCATCACCAGCTTTCAAACTTCAAGAAAAGGCATCAATCATATTGATAAAGGGCCACAGAGCTCAACTCTCAATTTTCTAGTCAACCTCTCAATAAATATTTATTTGGCACTTTCTATATCTGTGCTGTGCAACATGGCAGCGAGTTGGAAGGAGCGAATAACACCTCCCTCTGGGACAAAAAGCAGGTTCACCTGCTGCTTGCTATGAAAGTATAAGCTCCCCAAGCTCGGTATTCCCACACCATGACACAGACCCACCGCATGTCCAGCACCTATTGGGACCCCCCATGTCACCCTCAGGAGATTTGGGGGGTGTATTCATTTTCCATCACAAAATAACAAATTACCACGAAATTGTCAGCTTAAAATAATATCCATTTATTAGGTCATGTCTGTGACCCATGTCTGCTCAAGGCCAGAGCTCTCTGCTTGGGGCCTCAAAGACTGAAATTAAAGTATCGCCAGGCTGTGTTCTCACCTGGAGGCTCTGGGGGAAAAATCCACTTTTGAGCTCCCTCAGGTTGTTGATAGAATTTCATTCTTTGTGACTGTATAGCTGAGGTCCCCATTTTTCTTGCTGGCTGCCAGCAGGGTCCACTGCCAGCTCATCGAGGCCACCTGCATTCCTTGCCACACAATCCCCTCCATGTCAAAGCCCACAGCGGAGAACTTCCTACCATCAACTCCCTGCCACATTTTTAATCTCTCTGACTTCTCTGTTTCTGCCCTCTGGATCCACATTTAAAGGGGGTGTGTGATTAGATCAGGCCCAACTGCTTAAACTCCCTACTTTAAGGTCAACTGACTTAAGATCTTAATTATGTCTTTAAAATCTTGTCACGGTGGTGTTTGATTGAATAACTGGGAGAAGATGTGTGTATATCAGGGGCTGGGAATCGCTGGGTCCATTAATAAATTTGCCTATTACAGGGGACCAGGGAAACTGACGCAAACGTGCTGATACTCATGTCGCTCGCTGTATGTTGAGTGATGAAGCCCTTTATCTCTGGCCCAAGCGTTTCATCTCTTCTGCCAGCATCCATGGAACAGTGTAAGTAGCTTATTAGAAGGGTAAAGTCAAATTCCAGACCTGCCATAAAATACACATTGGATTTCACAGACTTAGTATGAAAAAAAGGGCTTAGTATATAAACCATCTCTTTAATAATTTTTATATTGATTACATGATGAAATGATGTTTTGGAATATTGGGTTAAATACAATGTATTATGAAAAGTAGTTTTACTTCATTATGCTTATTTTTATGTGGTTACTGGAGAAAATTAAAATTACATATAGAAGAGGGTTGCAGTGTATTTCTGGCAGACAGTGCCGGTCCATATGCCCAGCTAATATTGAAGTCTGATGAGGCCCCAGGGCAGGGGTAGAAGTCCAGCAGCACAAGTGCCAACTGTGCCCTGCAGTTGTTTTATTTGACCATCACAGTGTCCACATTTGTTGCAGTATGCCACAGGCCCCACCATTCCCCCATTGTTTTTCACTTTGCTCATTTACACATTTATTGTACCTAACTGACTTCTGCAAGCATTTAAATTCTGTGGCCCTTGCAGCCACATTCGTATTTTTGTAAGGCAAATAATAAGATACTAACACAGGAGGGCCACCAAAGGACAGCATTCAGTCAAAATGCCTCTAAAGGGCTATTCAAACTTGAGGCAAAGGGTCCCCTATGGACAGTGTGATGGCCAGGAGCCAGGAGACCTGGTTCTAGACCAAGCTCTGCCACTGATTGAGTGGGAGACCTTGGGCAAGTCGGTCACTTCTGTAGGCTGTTTCCTCAATGTCGAAGTGAAGTATGAAGCTAGAAGGCTTCCAATTTCCCAAGTTCCCTCTGAGGATTTCAATCTGATGGTTTTGCTGGCCAAATCAATCCGAGAGAGCTGCATGGAGGAGTAGGACTTGAAGAAACTTGCTGCCCTGTCCTTTGTACATTATTTCCCTCATTGTAATTGGCCAGAAAGGAAGGGAAAGAGAGTCAAGAAGAAGACTCAAAGTCCTAAAATGCTCCATTGGGTAGCTTGTCAAAGAAGGAAGATAAAACATTTGGCTACACTGTTGCTTTGTGTTCTCTATGGATGTAGATCATTCCATTTTTGGCCCTGTACCCCAAATGGTGGATAATCAGGAGCTGGCAGCATCCCGATACCTACATCTGCTCCTCACTCCCTTCCCCTCCTGATAACGGCATTTTGGAGAATCCAGAGGCAGAAGCTGCAAGCTGGGGCTGAGTGAGTATGAGCAGGGGTTTGTGGCTGGCAAGTTTCCACTCTCTCTACCCATGACATCTTTTTCATAACCTGGATTTCTTTAATTAAAAAACATCTGCCAACTCCTGTTATCTGCAAAGATGTGCCATAGCAACACTCTTTGTAAGCCCCTTATGTAGCTGATGCAAACAGGTGGAAGAAAAGCCTCCGTAAAGCCTCCCAAGTTTAAAGATGGAACGGGAAGCAAAGGAAGCTCTCCAAAGTGTGTGTGTGTGTGTGTGTGTGTGTGTGTGTGTGTGCGTGTGTGTGTAACACAGGAGTATGCAGACAGGCAGATCTCTTGCAATTTATCCTTAAAAAAAATTCTCCTTGTCTTTCAGAGAGGCCCAGAGGAATTTGGGAACACGAGCAGCATACCTCTCACACACACAGCACAAATAATCATAGGCACCTTGTGACAAATTGCACAGAGAAAAGAATCCAGTGCCGTTTGTCTTACTTGATAGGATCCCTGTTGCATTTTGACCATAGTGGGTCTGATTGACTCAGTGTGCAGAGGCAGCCAGGTGTCCACTGCTTTCATCCTCTGCCCCATGAACAGTTATTCCTAAAGGAAAATCCTTAACAATCATGTTAAGGAGGCGGGACAACATCGCCTGGGTCTAAGGCAGTGCTGACCTCACCCTTACTTCTACCCTCCAGCGTGCACCTCTCTTCCACTGTTCAGGCTCAGGAACAGTGTCCCAATTCTGGGAGAGGGATAACCCTCATTCATCCCCATCCCTCCTGGATTAAACACGAGCTCCATTGCTGACCCCCCAGATCTGAAACGGAGGTATTAAAAGCAATAATGAATGATGTCCTCTATCTCGGGGTGAGTCTCCTGACCTGACAGCTCCCAGAGAGCAAAGGCCTTTGTGCTTGGGGCTTTCCCATAGCACACTCCCTACCATGGCTAGACATGGACAATGACACTTAATTGGTGTCCTTTCAAATAATATTTATTCATTTTTCTGATCATAAATGTATAGAAAATAATTTTTTTTTTACAATGGTGATGTCTGATATCTGGCTTCTTTTGTTAGTAGTCCTTAGCACAAACCAATAAATCTGCAGCCAAAAGATCTCTTTCCTCCAGGGCAGCCCAGACATTATCACACAAGGCTAACTGCTTAAAAATTTGTTTATATTAATATTTGCCTTCCTTAAGTTCCACCCTCTGATACAATTCTTCTGTTCCCTGGAGCAGCCGCCTAGATAAGCCTGCTCCTCTGCAAAAATCTCAACAGATTTGTTCCTCAATTTCTATGTGATAACTCATGCAAGGAGACTAAGGCTGTGCTCGTTACATACTAGATATTTAATAATTTATTACTGTTATTATTGCTAATTTCTTTTCACTTTTCATTAAGAGGTTTAAAACATAAACATAAATAAATACACCCCATTCTTTACCTATTTCTCCACCTTTTTTCATCCCACTCTGCTTCCTCTTCCTGTTCCTTCCCGCATACCCCGGGGCAGGGCAAGGCGAATAGGAAAACCATACATGCTCTTTTCTTAAAATGCCCAACTCAGATCTGGGTAAGGACAAAATATTTATCCCAGAAGTGAAAACATTCAATAAACTCTCTGAATTACTTATTGGATCTTTCAACTACCAGTTGTCAAATATTCTACTTTTCTTCCCCAGCATATTAAAAAATGTCACCAACAATGAGGACTTCATGTTCCAGGCAGTGGCTCTGCCTTTTGAAGAAGGAGGTTAAGTTCTGTGAAGAGAGAAGACATGGAATATCACACCCCATTCCAGCCACAGTAGTGAAGGAACCCCATAACCAACCTTCCCAGCACTCTTAGATAATGGAGTGAAGGAAAGGAACCCAGGAAAAGGGTTAGAAGTGGGGGAAAAAAAACATTCAGGAGAAACAAATTGTTGTAGAGCAGAAAGAAACTGTTGATTTTACTTGGAGAGAGTTAAGTGAAATAAGTCTATATAAGATCCAAAATAGTGTCTCCTTGCATTTCTAAATACACTTAGGGGCAAGCACACTTCGTAGTACCCAACACAGCACTATGACTTGTTGAAAGAGAAAACAAAGCTTTGTGCTTCCACCTAACACGAAGCAATTATGCTTTGCACAAAAGAATATCCTCTTATCTTATCCATTGTTGGAAAGATATAACTTAGAAAAAGACAAAGAAATACTACTACTCATAGTAATCAACCTACCATTGGTAAACATTAATAACAAATAGCAATAATGAAATATTCAAGCAATCCTCAGAGTTGCACTGAGTTCCAAAGTATATAAACTGGCATGGATGCATCAACAGGGGCTAGCTCAGCAGCATTACCTAAATGCTATGTTGCTGTATCAGGTGTTGCCCTTGTTGGCACAGTTTACTGGGCCTTACAAGGGTTTTGCTGCCAGGAAAAACAGTGGGCAAGGGGGGACTGGGCCCCCAGTTTGTTCTGACACTCCAATGAAACTTTCAAGTTACAACATTTTCAAATATTTTTTTTCCTTGTAGCAACATTTTGGAGGATCTTAGCAAGACTTTGTGGGTAAAATGTCCTTAAAACAAGTTGAACACCTGATAATATGATAAGAGCTTTCTTCCACGAACAGGTGTGCTTGTGAATGGATAAAATACCACTTCCCACTGCCAACGCTGGACACACAGGGCTCACTTAACCTTGCTTAAGTAGGTTATTTCTACGCTTTACACTTTTTTTTACCCTATCTTTATAGCATATCTGGCATGATTATCCTATAAAAGTGGGGGAGGTGTATCTCAAAAGTCATCAGTAGAAATTCTGAATTGGAGAAAACTTATTAAAACTTATTATGTTTTGATGGAATGCCTAATGGACCATTTGTGTATAAAAAGATAGAATCTAGAATATGTCCTAGAAGAGACCAGAGCAAAGGAATGAATATCTCTACATCGGGATATAAGAGGATTTTTTTTTGTACCTACAATCAGAAAGGGGGTTAGACAAGAGGTTCAGAGATGGCAGACCATTCAGAAGATGTGAGGAAGTTAAGTGGGAGAGGAAACCAGGAGGAAAAATGCAAAATGCAACATGTAGGGAGAAGGAAAAAAAGGCCATTGAGAATTCCAGGTGCTGGGTATGGCTGAGAAACTTTAAAGAATGGTGATTTCTATTATTACATTTTTAAATTGTCATTTAGAGGCACACTGTAACCTCCTATGCCCCAAACCTAAATCAGTGGTGTTTGGAGGTAGGAGGGGAGGAAATTACAAGCAAAAGAAGGTTACATTTCATGTTTGCATCTGCTTTATTCTCAGTAGAGATTAAATATTCACCGGACACAGAAAATCCCAGCTAGAAGTGACTAAGAAAAATATACACCCCTCTACTTTCAAGAATCTTCAGAAGCATTGATAGGAATATTGGGTGTCATATGGAGACTGAGGCTTTGAGTCAGTTTAAAAATATATATTAAAAACAAGCCACAGCCTAGGAGAAAATATTTGCAAGAGACAGCTGATAAAGGGTACAGTTACTGAAAATATACAAAGAACTCTTCAAACTCAAAATTAGGAAAACAAACAATCTGATTAAAAAAATGAATAGATACTTTACCAAAGAAGATATACAGATGGCAAATAAGCTATGAAAAGATGCTCAACATCCTATGTCATTAGAAAATTGCAAATTAAAGCAAAGAGATATCACTGTACACCTATTAAAATGGCCAAAATCCAAAACACTGACAAGACCAAATGCTGGCAAGGATATGAAGCAATAGGAACTATATTTCATTGCTGATGGGAATGCAAACTGTTACAAACACTTTGGAAGACGGTTTAACAGGTTTTTTTCCTTTTTTTTTTTTTACAAAACTAAACATACTCTTAGCACATGATTCAGCAATCACACCATTTGGTATTTACCCAAAAGAGTTGAACACTTAGGTCCACACAAAAACCTACACGCCAATGTTTAGAAGTTTTATTCGTAATTGCTAAAACCTGGAAGCAACCAAGATGCCCTTCAGTAGGTGAATAAATAAATAAACCGTGGTATATCCAGACAGACAATGGAGTACTATTCAGTGCTAAAAAGAAATGAGCTATCAAGTTGCAGACATGAAAGAACCAAAATTGCATATTACTAAGTGAAAGAAGCCAATGTGAAAAGGCTGCATACTATATGATTCCAACTATATGCCATTCTGGAAAAGGCAAAGCTATGGAGACAGTGAAAAGATCAGTGGTTGCCTGGGATTAGTGGAGGAATGAAAAGGCAGAGCACAGAGGATTTGGGGGGCAATGAAACTACTCTGTATGATTCTATAACACGGAATACATGTCATTATACATTTGACCAAACCCCTAGAATGTACACCACCAAGAGTGAACCCCAGTGTAAACTATGGACTTCAGGTGATAATAATGTGTCCATGTAGATTCATCAATTGTAACAAATGCACCCAGGCGCTGCATGCTGACGGTGGGGGAGACTGCGCCTACGAGGGATTCCCTGGGCTTTCTGCTCAGTTTTGCTGTGAATCTAAAACCGCTCTAAAAAGTTAAATATACATATACATTTGTACATATACATATACTATATATGTGAAGGGTGACTTCAGAAGTGTAGGACACAGGAACTCCCAGATGGCTGACACCTGGGTTAAGTCACCAACATTCACAGCGAGCTGACAGAAACAACTGTCACCTTTACTTCTAAGTGCACTTCCGTCCCTCTTGGGGCAGGGCTACCACGTGACCTGTTCTGGCCAATGAAATGTGAATGGAATGGCCTACGTCACTTCCTTGCCAGCGCATCTAATTGCCCGTATGTGAGTCTCCGGGCTTCCTCCCTGCTGCTGCCAGGGCGCATGCGCACACTGGGCTGGCGATGCCGAGAGGTCAAAGCAGTCTGGCGTGTTGGGCTACAGACCTGGAGGGCGATTGTGGAACTAGCAGCACCCGCAGTGAGCTTTGCATGGAGACGGAATAAATACATTTCTGCTGTGTCAAACCTCTGAGGTTTAGGGTTGTTTGCAGCCAGAGCCTGGTCTGGCCCGTGCTGGCCGCTGCCCGGAGCTACAACGTCTAGTTCAAGTGCACGGAGGCCTGAGTGGTGCAGCTATGTCGAGTTCTCTCACCTAGCAGGAAAACCAGGGAAAGTGGGATGCTGAACCTATCGGTGGAGAAAACCATATTAATTTTCAGGTAAATTCAGTTTTGAGGGTTTTCTCCAATCTAAGCAACACGCGGGTCAGGGCTACAGTGTCCGTTTTGCTTCTGCCTGTCCCCCGGGGAATGTATTTTTAGGGGAGAGCAGAGATGGTTACCATCCATCATTTTGGAAAGTCATGAGATTTACAGAGATAGATGCCTAAACAAAGGACACGCGTATTAACAAATCTAGCTGTCCAAAAGTCAGGGCTAATGTTAACCAAGATGAGCATTACTGCGATTCCATCAAGATGTCCTGTTATTTATTTAACTTTTCCATTTTCATTTTTTATTTGGGTAAGATAATTGCTTGTGATAAGCCTCGGGTGTGGAGACCCGGTGCATACAGAGCGGCGAGGGAAGCTTCAGTCTGTCGTCTGGGGAAGGGAATCGATGGATTAACATATTGAAATGATCTCAATTAATGCCCTTTAATGGTTGTCTTCAAAAAAGGAGGACCTCTCCAAAATGAATGGCTGACTCCTTACCAACAGGACAAAAAAAAACCTATTAGGAAGATAATGCGTTTACCTGCTTGAGGAAAGAGGATCTCTTCTGAGTGGATTTCTTAAGAAACAAAAATACATGTGTACACTGTTTTTTCCACTGAGTCTGATATTGCAATGTTACTCGTGTATCTCGCTTCATAACATCCACACCTGTGCCCCCTGTTGCTTATCGCCAAGACCCTAAACTGGACAACACTACGGCTTTGGTGTCAAAAGCCCTAAAGTGGAACTTCAATAAATGAGACCTCTTTGTTTAAATGATCACTTTAGCACGCAATTGTGATCATTTCAATGGAACGTGAGCCGTGACCTTCAGGCTCTTGTGTGCCTGCTGTACAGCCCCTTCTCTTCTCTGTCCCCCATTGTCACTCTCCCCACCACCCTCTCTATTCTGGCCTGAATGCCCCCAGAAACTTAAGCAGAAGCAAACCTGGACGTGGTGGCTGCTTCTGCGGAGTGGTAACGTCTTGGGGAATATTCAAGGATTTTTGTTGGATAACAATGAAAACAGCCACTGGTGCTGGGTTTTTGCTAACAACAAGTCTCTGAAGTGGTATTGCTACCATCCTTTCTTCAGATGAGAAAATTAGGTTTGGAGAGTAAATAAGGGCCCAGGGTCACACTCCTATTGCCGCTGCTGAAACCAAGAAAGAGGGTGGAGAGGGGCCGTTGTTAGCAGCATTTTTCCTTCCCTAACATCCCTGCCTACTGAGAAAAAAATAAGAAATTAAATGCCTTCCCCTTTCCTGCCCTGTTTGATGACTTGAAAGGTAGAAGAGAACATTTCTATTTGCTATTTTGTTGTACTCCTTCTGATGATAATTACTGACCTCAGCGAGGGACATGACCCAAAAGAAAAAACAAAGAATTATACAATATCAAATAGATTTTGACCCTTCAGTCCTCTGTGTATCCAACACAAGCAGTTGCTCACAAGCCAGCTAAAACCCTTGCTCCTCCAGGAAGCCTTTCCCAGCTAGTCCAGTCTAGGCTGAGGGCTTTCACCACCTGAGACCCTCCTGGCCCTGTCATTCACTGCTCGAGGGACCTCTTCAAATGCCCCTGCCTCACTCCTGCCATCCCAATACCAGAGGTCTCGCCCCAGTCGGTTTTGCTTTCCCCACAGCACATGCATAAAAATAAAGCAAAGAGGAATGATCATAAACTCTAAGGAGGCAGGGGCTATCCCCTCTCACTGTGGGAAATGGAGCCATTAGAAGCATGTCTTCAGCCTCCCTTTGTGGTACGAACTGGAGTAGTCACTCCACAGAGCAAGCGAGACAGGATCTTATAGAACATGGGTCCCACCCTACCACCCTCATGAACAGGATTACAGGATTGTATTAGTTTGCTCTGACCATGTGTTGTTTTTTTTGTTTTGGAGACAGTCTTGCTCTGTCACCCAGTCTAGAGTGCTATGGGATCAGCCTAGCTCACAGCAACCTTAAACTCCTGAACTAAAGCCATCCTCCTTCCTCAGCCTCCTGAGTAGCTGGGACTACAGGCATGCGCCACCATGTCCAGCTAATTTTATCTATCTTTAGTTGCCCAGCTAATTTTTTTTTTTCTGTTTTTAGTAGAGCTGGGGTCTCACACTTGTTCAGGCTAGTCTCAACTCCTGAACTCAAGCGATCCTCCTGCCTTGGCTTCTCAGAGTGCTAGGATTACAGGCGTGAGCCACCGTGCCTGGTCTTCTGGCAATATTTTATCTCTACTTAACTGTAACTTACAATTCCCATGTGGCTTTGTATTTTTAAAATATTATGAAATATATCATTATACACAATAAAAACATATATGTACAGTTCCAAGAATTATAATAAAATGATTTCCCATAAGCCCACCATCTAAGGTTAAGTAATAGAACATAGAAGGATACCTGTGTGTCCCTCCTCATCCCAATCTTGCCTCCTTGTCCACTCTCCGTGTTTTATATTAATCATTCCTTTGCTTTTCTGTGTAGTTTTACTACATACATATCTATCACTATAGAATATATTGTTTGGGTTGGCCTATTTTTTTTTCTACTTTTCTATAAATGGGATATACAGGTGTCTTCTCTTATAACTTGCTTCTTAAAATATTTTGCCCAAAACAACATATCCATAAGATTGAACCATGTTGAAAGTAGCTTGTAGTACATTCATTTTTACTGCTATGTAACTTGTATCAAATGAATACATACCAATATTTTTGTGCATTCTACTTCTGGTGGGTATTCAGATTAATTCTAATGTTTTGGCACTTACTACTCCAAAAATACTTCTATAAATATCCTTGTGCACATATCTTGGTGCACAAATACTGCTGTTTCTCTAGGGTGGATACTATAGGAGTGATTCTTGTGGTTATTAAGATAGAACATCTTCAACTTTGCCAGATAATATCAAATTAGTTTCCCAAACAGTAGCAGAATTTGAGACCCTCTCGAGCATTGTGTAAAAGTCTCTGTTGGTCCACATCCTCACCAGCACCTGGTGAGGACCTGTGGCAGAAGTTTCTAGGTAAAAGCATTTAGATGTGTTAAGTATAAAGGGGGAAACATCTAGACCTAGGAAAATAAATCTTTAAGGCTTAAAAGTCAGATTCGCATGTAAAAATATCCCTGGATGTGTTATTTTATTTATTCAAATAGAATGGCTAGGTCAACACCAACAGTCATAAATCATGTTGATCGTATGTACCCTTAATACAATGCGATGAAAATGGCACTTCACCTCTGTGATCTTCCTCCAAAACCCCATGACCCCAGTCTAATTTTTAAAAAATAGCCAAATTCCAATAGAGAGACATAGTACAAAATACTTGAGCACTATTTCTCAAAACTGCCAAGGTCATCAAAAACGGGAAAGTCTGAAAAATTGTCAATGCCCAGAAGAGCCTAAGGATAAATAAATGTAGTGCAATACCCTAGGTGGGATCCTGGACAGTAAAAGTACATTAGCTAGATCCATGACCGTGGCAAAGGTCTAAATAATTGACCCAATGAAAATTGAAATAAATGGTAGAGTTTAGTTAATAATAATGTATCAGTACTTGTTCACTAATTATAACAAATGTACCATACAGATGCAGATGTTAATAACAGGGGAAATGGTATGTAAGGGCGGGGATGGGGCATGGGAACTCTGTGCTATTGCTCAATGCTTCTGTAAATTTGAAACTGTTCTAAGAAAATTGTTTATTAATTTTTTAAAAAAATAGTACAACTTTAGCTGGGAACACTAATCCTAATATATAAAATCTGAAATTTATACACTTGAAAGAAGTAAGGATAGACTTTTGTGTTACCCAATGACTCATTATTAATACTGATGCATATAAAATGTAATACCATATATTGAGTACAGACAGTATATGTATCTACATATACATTGGGTCTCTATGCAACAAGAGGCCTTTTTCAAGCTTTCCCTCTTCTTGTGGATCAATTATTTATCCATTGAGACATGGCCATGGAATACACACATGGCTCTAGCTAAAGTGAATCAGCGATGCCTCCATCCTCGTTCTCTGCCTGCTGGTGTTAGGACATTCCTACCTTGGATGTCCTCCTTCTCAGGGTGGGAATAGACCCTCTGGGTGATCAGCTTCTGGACAGGAATTTCCATGAGGCAGAGGTAATGTCCACTTCCTTCCTCACCACATGCTTAGCCCACAGCACAGTGCCTGGAATAGAGTAAGCAATCAACCGATTTTGTTGAATAAATTACTGCCCAAGAAAATTTGAGTGGTCTGGATAGAAGAGCAAACCAGGCACAATGAATATTTAAGCCAAAACCTAACTTAGAGCAAGGCCCTAATTCTCTTCAATTCTAGGAAGGTTTAGAGAAGTGAGGAAGCTGTAGAAGAAAAGTCTGAAGGTAGCAGAGGGTGGTTCATGAGATTTAAGGAAAGAAGTCATCTCCATAACATAGAAGTGCAAGGTGAAGCAGCAAGTGCTGATGTAGAAATTGCAGCAAGTTATCCAGAAAATCTAGCTAAGATCATTGATAAAGATGGCTGCACTAGGCCAGGTGCAGTGGCTCATGCCTATAATCCTAGCACTCTGGTAGGCTGAGGCAGGAGGATCACTTTAGGCCAAGAGTTTGAGACCAGCCTGAGAAAGAGTGAGACCCCATCTCTACCAAAAAAAAAAATAGAAAAATTAACCAGGTGTGGTGGCATGTAGCTGTCATCCCATCTACTTAGGAGGCCGAGGCAGGAGAATTACTTGAGCCCAGGAATTTGAGGTTGCTGTGAGCTAGGCTGACACCATGGCACTCTAGCCTAGGTGACACAGTGAGACTATGATTTTCCATGTAGAGAAAACAGCCTTCTATTGGAAGAAGATGCCATCTAGGATTTTCCTAGCTAGAGAGAAGTCAACACCTGGCTTCAAATCTTCCAAGGACATCCTGACTTTCTCATCAGAGGCTAATGCAATGACTGACTTTCAGTGGAAGCCGATTCTCATTGTCCATTCCAAAAATCCTAGTGCCCTTAGGAAGTATACTAAGTCTACTCAGCCTGTCCTCTATCAATGGAACAACAAAGACTGAACGACAGTGTATCTGTTTACAGCATGGTTTATGAACTATTTTAAGCTCACTCTTGAGACCCACTGCTCAGAAGGAAAAGATTTCTGTCAAAATATTACCACTCATTGACAATGCACCTGTCTCCTCAAGAGCTCTGACAGAGATGTACAAGGAGATGAATTATTTTCCTTCCTGCTAATACAACATCCATTTTGTAACCCGTGAATCAAAGAGTCATTCCGAAACTCAAGTCTTACTATTGAAGAAATATATGTGTGAGACTATAGCTGCCATAGATTGTGATTCCTCTGACAGATGTGGGCAAAGTAAATTAAAAACCTTCTGAAAAATATTCACCATTCCAGATGCCATTAAGAACATTCATGATTCACGGAAGGAGGTCAAAATATCAACATTAACAGGAGCTTGGAAGACACTTATTCCAGCCTTTGTGGATGACTTTGAGAGGTTCGAGACTTCAGTGTCGGAAGTAACCACAGATGTGGTGGAAATAGCAAGAGAACTAGAATTAGAAGTGTATCCTGAAGGTGGGACTGAATTGCTAAATCTCATGATAAAACTTGAATGGATGAGGAGTTGCTTTTTTGGGATGAGCAAAGAAAGTGGCTTTTTGAGATGGAAACTACTCCTAGTGAAGATGCCGTGAACATGCTGAAATGACAACAAAGAATTTAGAACATTACATCAAGCAGTGGTAGGGTTTGAGAGGATTGACTCCAATTTTGAAAGAAGTTCTACTGTGGGCAAAACGCTATCAAACAGCATCACATGCTACAGAGAAATCTTTTATAAAAGGAAGCATTGATTGGTGTGGCAAACTTTATTGTTGTCTTATTTTAAGAATTGCCACGCCGACCCCAACCCTCATCAACTACCATTCTCATCAGTCAGCAGCCTTCAACATTGAGGCAAGACCGTCCACCAGCAAAAACGTTACAGCGCACTGAAGTCTCAGATGATCATTAGTATTTTTTAGCTCTAAAGTATGTTTTAATTCAGTTATGTACATCTTTCTATAGACATCATGCTTTTACATATTTAAATTTCACATATTATTTTGCATATGGTGTAAACGTAACTTTCATATGCACTAGGACACCAAAAAATTTATGTGACTCGCTGTATTGCAATATTTGCTTTATTGTTGTGGTCTGGGGCCAAACCTGCAATATCTTTGAGGTATGGGAATATTTTCTTATTGAGTAAACAAACTGAGTTTCAGATTTCTTCATCATTTGTCCCCTGGTCATTTTGTCCAATGGGACTGATAGATCCAATGGATCTAGTCCAGTGGCCCCAAT